GATTCTCCAGCATCAGCAGTTCCTACTATCTCTACTAAGTACAGAAACTTGGTTTGTACTTTATGTCAACCTGGGTCTAAAAGACCAGCAAATTGGGAAAGTTTGTACAGATTCATAAAATCTCTAGTTTTTTTATGATGACTCTGTGAATAGCAGGACTCAACTTTCAGCACACTACCCAGGTGAAGCATAACGGAAACCTGCCCGTTTTGGTACCAAGTGTCATTTTTCATCTGCCTGTATAGATGCAGCTCCAAAAGTACTCAAGAAGCTGATACCATCCAGGACAAAGCAGCCCACTTGATTTGCACCACATCCACAAACACTCACTCCCTCCACGACTGACACTCAATAGCAGCAGCGTTGTACCATTTACAAGATGCACTGCAGAAATTCACTAACATCCTTAAACAGCACCTTCCAAACCTATGACTACCTCCATCTAGGAGGACAAGGGCAACAGATACATGGGAACACCTCCAAGCAAGTTCTCCTCCAAGCCACTCACCATCCTGACTTAGAAATTATTCCTGTTCTTTCACTGTCATGGGTCTGCACATTGACTGCTACAAAAACAGATGAATTGACACTATGTTCCTGTTGGTTATATTGGACAGTTATGACCAGAGTTGTTCTCACAAATTGGATTGAAACATTACTTGGGACTCTACAGTCCCAGCCAAGAGTTTTCCACTGCTCATTGAGTTAAACATGAGACTAAGATGTGACATCCAAACCCACCGTCACATTGTACAAACTCAGAATATCACTTCCATTTACCTGGTTCAATAAAACGTTCATTAAAATCTGTCATGCTTCTTTCATGACCAATACTTCAGGGTGTTGGCTGCAATTTCTGATCACACTTTCAGTGAAAAGTTTGTTTCTTTGTCATCATGTTTCAATGGTAGGGAACTGGTTTGCACATTGTTGGCTGCTGACAAACAGGAATGGCTACTGGAGGGTGTTGAATATGGAAGGGGGTAAAAAAATCTCTGAAAATAATCTCCCATCTATTGGTGTCATAAAATTATTAGCAAGAAAGGCAAGGAGAAAAGACGTGCATTTATATAGCTCCTCAGTTCATCCCAAAGCATTTTATAGTCCCTGAAGTTCAGAAGAATGAGGGGGAATCGCATAGAAACCTATGAAACTCTAACAGGCCGAGACAGGGTAAAGTCAGGATGTTTCTGACACCAGGGAGTCCAGAAATAGGGACCACAGTCTGAGGATACGGGGTAGGCATTTTAGGACTGAGATGAGGAGAAATTTTTTCACCCAGAGAGTGGTGAGACTGCGGAATCCTCTGCCCCAGAAAGTAGCTGAGGCAAAAATATTGAACGCTTTCAAGAAGGAGTCAGATATAGTTCTTCAGCTAAAGGTATGGGGCAGAAGTAAAATGAAGTTGGATGATCAGTCTTGATTGTTTTGAATGGCACAGTAGGCTCAATGGGGTGAACGGCCAATTCCTGCTCCTATTCTCTATAGAGCCATATAGCATAGAAACTGGTCCCTCGGCCCACCATGTCTATGTCGACCAACAAACACCAAACTACAATAATCCTATTTACCTGAACTTGGTCTATAGCCTACTAATCCCTGGCATTTTAAGTCCTCCAGATGCTTCTTAAATGTTGCAAGAGTTCATGCCTCCACCATCCTCTCAAGCAACCCGTTCCACATTTCTACTACCCTCTGGGTGAAAACAATTCATTCTCATATCTCCTCTAAAACTGTTGCTCCTCACCTAATGTCCTCTGGTCTTAGACATATCTGCCATGGGGAAGAGATTCTCACAATATATTATGTCTAGATCTCTTATAATTGATTGTACCTCAATCAAATCGCCCGTCAGCTTCCTCTGCTCCAAGAAAAATAAACCCAGCTTATCTAGTATCTCCTCATATCCGAGAACTTTTCATCCCAGGGAGCATCCTGGTGGATCTCCTCTGCACCCTCTCCAGTTCAGTCACATTCTTCCATTACCATGGCAACTAGAACTACACACAGTATTCCATCTGTTGCCTAACCAATGTTTTATAAAGTTGTAACAAGACTTCCGTGCTCCTATCTTCTACACCCCAGCTAATGAAGGTAAATATCCTGTATGCCTTCTCCACCACTCTGTTGACCTATGCTGACACCTACAGGCATCTATGGACTTGTATATCAAGGTCTCTTTGTTCCTCAGTACTCCCTAGGCATCCATTCTTTATGTCCTTCCCTTATTAGACCTCCCAAAACATATCACCTAGCACTTGTCGGGATTAAACTCCATCTGCCATTGATCCGCCCAATTTACTAGCTGATCAATATCAGACTGTAGCCTGAGACCATTCTCTTCACTAACAACATTCTGCCAATTTCCGCGTCATTGTGTTTCAATCGGTTTCAAACTTGGTCATGGTTGCTATTTAAGCAGTTAGAGTGGTTAGTACAGCAGTCACAGCAATTGTCTGCACTGGATCAGCATTGGCTAAGGCTCCAAGCTAATTTCCTTGCTCCTTTAAGTCACAAACTTAATGAAAACTCCTTGCTACTTTTGTTGGCCTTTCTTTACAAAACTCCAATAGCTGAGATGTACTAAGATTTACCCAGAAATGTTGCTGAAGCTGTCATAAACGTGGATTGCAGTGTTTGTAAGGAACTGGTTATGAAGGACTGTACCCTGGAAAGATACACAATGGTGTCATTTTATTTGTAGTTGGTAATTATTGAGCGGTCATTTTCTATGAAAATGCACAGCCTCACCAAATGGAGTGTACGTTTTGCATCCAACAGCAACAATGTTAAATTTTGAATCATTTTGTTACAGGAACAGAAGACAGGTTCCTCTCTGGAAGGGGTGGGAAATTGGGTTTGGACACACACGCTTCCACGTCACTTCCTACTTACTTGTAGCCTATACACTGATAGGCCAGTGCATGCATGGTTGTACATTCCACATTTGGAGGGAAAATGCGGTTAGTCTCCCCTGGAACAGGCTTGGCGGAAATGATGTACAAAAATCGTAGGTGAGGTCTCCTCCATGCATATTCAATCAGTGTAGTAGTTTTACCTGTACCTTCAGTAGAAGAAGAAATAAATTAATTAAAACAATAAGAGTTTGATCTGGATCTGTATTGCAAAAATGCCCAGCTTTTCAACATAATTGGGCTGGAAAGTTACACCTGGCAACGCAGCAAGTTGGTTTCCGGTTTTAATGAACCTATCACGGCAACTTGACACATTTTCCTCTCCCTCTATCAGCTGCTCATGTGTAGTTCTCATTCTACAATTTCCAGACAGCTCCTAGTTCTATGTGGCTCAACTCCTTAGTATTGAATCACACATCTTACAGTGTAATATTTATACTTGTGAGATTTCATGCTGTTCAAATATACATAGCTTGCTAAGTCAGGCTAATAAACGGATTATTTACCATCCACAGACAAAACATCAAAACTTCACTCCTTCATCACCAAACTTTTCTGCATCTTCTTCCAAGTTTCTGTAAATATACTCTTCCTCAAATTCCAAGTATTCAAAGTTATTCTTTGTTCCTCCAAATCCTATGAAAAAAATGGTCTCCAAATCCAGACATAACATGATACTGAACCCTGCTGAGCTGGATTATAGTGGTTGAATTAGCTGGTCTTGAGTCACATTGCAGATCGAACAAAATTTGGTGGGGGCGGGGGCGGGGACGGGGGGAGGGGGGTCTTAGCATCTCTAAGACAAAATGGAAGAGGCAGCCATGGAATCACACAGCCCCCTACCAGAAGTACACCACAGTGATTCAGTTCCAATGCACAGAATTGAATGTCATTGGAATCAAATAGATCACCAACGCTCACTGTCCAATCAGGAAGAATGTGTGACCAATCGGAGATATATGACATTAGAACAGTGAGTTAATGCCTCAGTTCTCTGAGTTTAAGGAAAAAATGCTTCTCTCCTTGAGAAAAAAAAACTTTACTGGTCTCCTTAATGTTTCTTTAGCGTATATTGTTATTGCCATAATTATAATGGTTGAGTTCATTGTGCTTTCATCATCACTGAGGAAGCTGTTCAGAAGATTTCACAATAACTTTTAAGAATGTTTGTAAGTGTTGCCAAGTAATGAAATGATAGGGTCAAAAGGAATGAGAAACTTCCTCTGCAGTTGTGAATGTACAGCAAAAAAAAAAAATCAGCTCCACTTGATTAATTCCTGGGAAGATGTGAAGCTTCAGTGTTTTGATTGGAATTGATTGAATTTATTATTGACACATCTATCTAGGTACAGTGAAAAGTTTTGCTTTCTGTGCAGTATTGGCTGATCAAAATTCATAGGGTGATAGAACGGAGCAAGGAATACAATGTTACGGCTGCAGAGAAGGTGCACAAAAAGCAAGATCAACATTAAATTTAAAATTTGAGGGGTCCATTCAGAAGTGTAATAACAGTAGATAAGAATCCGTTCTTAGGCCTGATGGTGCATGTGTTTTAAGCTTTTGTATTTTCTGCCTGACGGAAGAGTTTGGAAGAGATTATTACTGGGGTGGGAGGTGTCTTTTTTCATAGGATTTGGAGGAACACAGAATAACTTTGAATACTTGGGATTTGAGGAAGAGTATATTTACAGAAACTTGGAAAAAGATGCAGAAAAGTTTGGTGATAAAGGGGTGAAGTTTTGACTGCCTTTCTGAGGCAGCAAGATGTGTAAATGGAGTCAATGGATGTAAGGTTGGTTTATGTGATGGACTGGGCTGTATTCACAACTTTCTGTAGTTTCTTATAGTCCTGGGCAGAGCAGTTGCCGTACCAAGCCGTGATGCATTCGGATAGAATGCTTTCTATGGTGCATCTGTAAAAGCTGGTAAGAGACCTCATGGACATGCTGAAATTCCTTAGCCACTTGAGAAAAGTTATTTTGGCGTTGTTATGCCTCTTGACTGTCGCATTAACGTGCGTGGTCCGAGACAGTTTGGTGGTGATTGTCTCTCCTAGGAACTTGACGCTCTCGACCATCTCCATCTCAGTTCCATTGATGTGGACAGGAGCATACCCTCCACCTTGCTTCCCGAAGTCAATGACCAGCTCTTCGGTTTTGCTGACATTGATGGAGAGATTGCTATCTGTACACCATCCAACAAGCACTCCACCTCTGTCCTGTATTCTGTCTCATTCATTGTTTGAGATCTGGCCCACAACGGTGGTGTCGTTGGTGAACTTGTGGATGGTGTTAGGACAAAATCTGGCCACATATTCATGAATGCACAGTCATGCTGCTAAACAACAAGGGACATTCTAAAGTTCGAAGGAATCAGCAATACCAGGGGAGGTCTTATGGTGAAGTGGATAGTGTCTCTATTCCAACCAAAGTCTCAATGGCCAAGAAAGTTTTTCTTCAGCAGAACCTCTTCCAGAGCCACCTAAAATAAACGGCATACTAAAAACTCACTACTAGCTGTAACTTCAGAGTAAACACAAGTTCCCTAAACTCAGTTTCAGCAGATTTTGCTGGATTTCTAATTGGAATATTTAATACTACAAACTGACTTTCTGGATTGTTCTGTCTCCCTGTGGGTCAATACACCTCTGTTGTTAGACAACTGGACACAGTCTTTCCTCCTCTACATTTTCATCTAAATGCACCAAATGGATTTCTCACAGCTCTCAACTTCAAAATTGTAAAATCTCATTAAAATGCATATAAACACAAACTGGTTTCCAGGCACCTTTTCACCAAGAACTTCCAAGATCTTTAAACCCATGTTGCCCCTTAACACACAAAATACAATAGTCTAAATTAAATGTAAAGTTAGACATCGTTCCTAACATGGTAATCACTAGTCATCACTCCAAATGATGTAAAAGTGAATGTTTCCCTTATAAATCAGATTCCTTAAATGAACCATAACATACCATCAATAACACAGTATGAGGAAATTCACAGAAGACAAATAGAGAGGAGAAAAGAGTACAAGAAGAGACAGTGAGGGAAGGGGACAGAGAAGGCGAGAGGAGAGGACAGGGTAGCAGAGAAAAAAATGAAGAGAGAGAAGAGGACAAAAAGAGAAAAAAAAGAGTAAGAGGCAAGAAAAATTAAGGGACAGGGAAAGGCAAAAGAAAGGAATTGTGAGAAAGTGTTTTTTTAAAAAAAAACCATAGGGCATGAACATTACAGGCTAGGCCAGCATTTAATATCCATCCCTAATTGCCCTTGAACTCAATGGCTTTGCTAGGCCATTTCAGAGAACAGTAAAGTGTCAGCCATGTTGCTGTGGATCTGGAATCTGGGCCAGGCCAGGCAAGGATGGCAGATTCCCTTCCATAAAGAACATTAGTGAATCAGATGGGTTTTTACAACAATTGAGTGGTCACATGGTCACCATTAGACTAGCTTTGAACTCTTGTTTTTATTTAATTGAATTCAGATTTCACCATTTGCCATGGTAGATTTGAACTCATGTCCCCACAGCTTTAGACTGTGGGACTCTGAGTTACTAGTTCAGTAACATTAACATTATAAATCCACCTCCCCATAAATGGGTGAAAATAGGTGACATTTGACTTAAACACAAGAAAACCATCACCCTCTCACATTAGCTACCCACCCCAGGCTACTCTGCCGATTTTTAACAAACCTGCAAATCCTCTTATTTCAATCACATGTCCTGGACCGCACTCCTGGCTCAGTATTTGCTGCTGCTCTGGAGACAGTTTTACGTTGCATATATCAAGCCTTTTTGACAAAAAGAGAAGAAAATCAATGATGGCCATCTACTGTAAAGAACATGGCTGTTTTAGGTCCTGGTAGAGAGCAGTAGGGTGGATGTTTAAGATCAGAATATTAACATTGCAGCTTACTGTTATCATGAATTAACAGAGAGAGAAACAGAGGGAAAAAGCTTCAACCTCAGATTGTTCTGTGAAGGGTTTGGCCGTGACAGCTGACACCAACGGTTATGCTTTTCCTAATACTTAGATGGAGGAAATTTCTTCTTGTGGAGTACTGGATATGGACAAACAGTGTGATAATTAACAGACAGCGGAATGTTTGGGGTGGGGTGGGGGGGGGGGGAGAGAAGAGGAGGGGGGGGGGGGGGGGGGGAGGGGAGTGGGGGGGGGGGGGGAGGGGGGGGGGGGGGGAGATGGATGGGGGTGGGGTG